AAAGGCTGGAACACTAGAAACTGGGAGTGGAGTGGGGGGAATCCCAGAGAGAATGACATCAGAGTCACAGCCTCAGCCTGCACTCCTTAGCATGCTGCCAGTTAGAGCAGGTGACCTTCCTGAGCATCTCTAAGTCTCACCGAGCTCATAGGATGATGGAGAATCTTAGAATCTTAATGGAAGCAGCAGCATTTCTGAAAGTCAGAGTCAGCATGGACCTTGTAGCTCATATTACCAGCTTCCTGCTCTGTGGATGCCTGGCTACGCTGTGCGGCCACCTCTGCCCTAGTGCTCCCCGCCTCAACTGGAAATGATGGCTTTCTGCTTCTGTGTCCCCAGTGGATGGGAGCATCCCTGGCCCTAAACATGGGCATGCTGGGTAAGCGGGACCTCCCGCGGCTGGGTGCTCACCTACATCGTGGATGAACTGCTCGATCTTGGCTTGCATGCCCCAGTAGCGGAACTCAACCTTGCACAGCTTATAGGCACACATAAGGGGCCCCGTCTGCGCCGCCGTCCGCGCCCAGTCATCAGCCAGTGGCCCTCGGCCCGTCTTGACCGAGCGGTACAGCCGGGGGTCCTCTTCTGCTTTGTACTCGCCTGGGGCCACTGCATCCCGCACGATGTCAATGGTGTCTGAGGGAGTTCAGCGAGCATTGAGCAGTGCCAGCCCCTTTGAGCCCCCGCTCCTGGCACCCTCTTGGGACTGGGTGACAGTTCCTGTCCTTTTGCAGATAGGACATGAGGCTTGGAGAGGGCTGGGACTTCTCAGAGGCTGCCCACTGAGGCAGCCAGGAGACTGAGAGGGGCGCCAGGGTCCCTCCATAGCTCCAGGCCTCACCCAGGATGCGCTGTCTCCTCTCGGCCCCACTCAGGTTGAAGACGTTTGGCTGCTGCCCCCCATCAGGCAGGTAATAGGTCTCGATTTCAATGGAGAATTTCTCCACGAAAGGGCAGGTGTACCTGGGCAGAAGGCATGGGTGAGGCTCACTGCCATACCCACCAGGGCTGCTCCCCTCCTGGCCCCGGACCATGCCCACTTCACCCACTCACCGGGTTCGGGTGTAGGGGTAGGCATTCCAGGATTCCTCTTCTACCTGCAGGGCAGCCTTGGGCAGCAGTGCCCGGAACCAGCCTGGGATGTGGGAGCCCACGTGGTACACCTTGTGTGTGTACTGCCCGCTGCCCCCGGGCCCATCTGTGTAGGGCCGGTTGGCCAGGATCTCCACGCCGCTGCCCTCACCACTAGACTCCTCCCGGCTCTTTTTCTGTGGCCCAAGGGAGAGCAGAATAGGGAGCTCAGCCCCAGCTTAGCATCTGGGATCCCCAGCTTAGGCTGGTGTTCTGCGCAGTTCTGGGGCCCTGGTCCCAGTCTTTTCAACTCCCTGAAACCAGACACTGCCCCACCGAAGCTCCCTGGGATCGGAATCAGATGCAGCCCAGCCCTGCATGGGGTCTGCAACCCAGCACTCAATTCAGTCATTCAAGTATTCATTGAATGTCTGCTCCACCCCAGGCAGTGTTTGGGATTCTATCAATTGAGATATATTGATGAATAGAACAAAGACCCCTGCCCTCATGGAGCTTACATTCTAGTGGAAGAAGACAGACAAAAGGAAAAAGCAAATTATATGGTGTGTTAGAAGGCGCTAAGTGTTATGGGAAAAGAAAGCCTACAGTAGGGTACAGGTGATCAGGGTTGGGGGCTGCAGTTTTGATCTGATAGTCAGGGAAGGCCTTGCTAAGAACATAAAGTGACCATGGCTTGAACATGACTTTAAGGAGGTGAGGTGGGAGGAGGTGCTCAAGGCAGGGGGAAGCCAGTGCAGCCCCGAGGTGGGAGCGTACTGGATGTGCTGGCGGGTGGCAAGGAGGCCAGGGTGGCTGGCAAGGAAGAAGGGACAAAGAGAGGAAAAGGGGACCCTGGCCCCCTCCCTCTCTGGGAGGCCCAGGCCACCTCCCAATCCCAGCTCCTGCCACACCCCTCACAGCTTGAGAGCCCCCAGATCCTGCCTTCTATCGCTCTGGGGCTCAGATGTCCCTTTCAACCCCGAGGCAGGGTCCGGGCCCTCTTGCTTTATGAGACTCTGGTCCTGCTGTGCTGGGGAGAGATCTGGAGCAGACTCCCCGGGGCCCTGCACCAACCCGGCCACTGCTGAGGGCCTGCCCTGGCCAACTCTTCTCACTGCCCTACCCGAGAGCCCCCTCGCCCTCCGATCCTTGCTGCCCTGTCCCTGCTCCAGGTTTGGCGCCTGGTCCTCACTCCATCTCCCTGACCTCCAGGGGTGGCCAGGACTCTGCACCTCTCCAGACCCCCTCCCGCCCTCCTCGGCCGCGGAGGCCCCCCTCCTCATTCTTGCCGCCTCCTGGGCGCTTTTTCCTTCCCCGATGGGATTACAGATCCTGAGGAGGATTACAGGAGATCAGAGAAGGGCTGGGCACTTAGCGGGTGAGAAGCACCACTCGGCTTTCCTGCCCCTCTCCCCACAGCCCTTCCCCATCCCCACATCCGAAGGGGGCCTCTCTTGCCTCCTCCGGGCTCCCAGCCGGTCCCAGCCCCGTGGCAGGGCTGGCGGGGTTGGCGGGGCTCCACCCCTTGCCCGGGTGCCCTCTCCCTGCCGCCCTCACCTGGATCATGTAGAGCTGGGCCACCTGGTACTCGTCCAGGCTCATGGGCAGCAGAATGTGGTATTCCTTGATGAGCATCCTGAAGGCGCCCGGCGGGCCGCGCGCGGCC